ATTTTAAACCGTTTAACTGATAATTAATTTTGACCGAATATTACTATTTCGGTTAACGGTTAAACGGTCAAAAGGAGCATCCCTAGTCAAAGGCTTTTTATTGACAATTACATTAAGTTTAAGCAAAGAGTCAATATTTGCAGTGTTGTCCCTCCTTTTTAAAGACCTCTGCCATTCGCCCTGGCATGCTGTCAATCAACTTCTGGGCCAAATCCTGACTGATGGAAGCCCGTTCTTGCATAATCAATGTTTGGAGTCCATGACCAGGAAATGTCGATGTTTTGTCCCCCGAGCCACTTGATTATCACTGTTGCCTTATGGCACGGTGCTCCATCATGCTGGAAAAGGCATCGTTCGCCAGCAAACTGTTCATGGATGGTTAGGAGAAGTTGGTACCATTCTTTATTCATGGCTGTGTTCTTAGGCAAAATTGTGAGTGAGCCCACTGCCTTGGCTGAGAATCACCCCACACATGAATGGTCTCAGGATGCTTTACTGTAGGCATCACACAGGACTGATGGTAGCTCTCACCTTCTCTGTGGACAATCCTTTTTCTGGATGCCCCAAACAATCGGAAGGGGGATTCAACAGAGAAAGTGACTTTACCCCAGTCCTCAGCAGTCCAATCCCTGTACCTTTGTCCGTCCCTGATGTTTTTCTTGGAGAGAAGTGGCTTCTTTGCTGCCCTTCTCGACACCAGGCCATCCTCCAGAAGTCTTCGCCTCTCTGTGTGCAGACGCACTCACACCGGCCTGCTGCCATTCCTGAGCGAGCTCTGCACTGGTGGTGCCCCAATCCTGCAGCTGAATCAACTTTAGGAGACGGTCCTGGCGCTAGCTGGACTTTCTTGGGCGCCCTGAAGCCTTATTTACAACAATTGAATCTCTCTCCTTGAAGCTCTTGATGATCTGATAAATGGTTGATTTAGGTGCAATCTTACTAGCAGCAATATCCTCACCTGTGAAGCCCTTTTTATGCAAAGCAGTGATAACTGCATATGTTTCCTTGCAGGTAACCATGGTTATCAGGGGAAGAACAATGATTTCATGCACCACCCTCCTTTTAAAGCATCCAGTCTATTCTAACTCAATCAGCATGACCGTGTGATCTCCAGCCTTGACCTCGTCAACACTCTCACCTGTGTTAACGAGAGAATCACTGAAATGTCAGCAGGTCCTTCTGTGCCAGGGCTGAAATGCAGTGGAAATGGGTTTTTTGGGATTAAGGTCATTTTCATGTCTGATCATAACATTCTGGAGCATATGCAGATTGCCATCATAAAAACTGAGGCAGCAGACTTTGTGAACATTAATATTTGTGTGATTCTCAAAACCTTTGGCCACGGCTGTAAGCATGTGCCAGTGTGAGGTGACCACCAGGAGAACTGAGTCACTGCAGTGAGGCTTCTCCGGCCCTTTAAGGCACAAGGCGTCAGCATTGCGACCTGGAAAGAAATCACAGGCCACAACAGGGGCTGCGGAATGTGTGTGGTTATGTGAGAGAACTGATAACGAATTGCAGTGGAATGTTTTCTAGGGTATGGGGAAATCGTGTTCTGTTGCACACTGTAAATCCACAGTGATCGGCCTGCAGTGTACCATCAACTTGCACTGTAATTTTGCTGTGCTGTGTTGTCATTATGGACGAGCGATCTCCATAAGGGTGCCCCAAAGGGTCGGTGGGCTGATCAGGGACCCCACCCAGCCGCTCCTGCTCCTGCCAGCAGTGCCCGGTAATGTGAGTCACAAGCAGCCTGGCTGGGTTGTGCTGTGCTATCCTCGTCCTGTGCTCTAGACACGCTTTTTCATTATTTA